ACATATGTTTCATATGTTTGTTGTTGTTTGATTTATCATCTACGGGTTTATGTCGAATTAATTTGATGGCCTGCTCCCAGTTGGCTTGTTAGCTCAATTGGTAGAGCGCTGCACTAGTATCGCAGAGGTCAGTGGTTCGAATCCCGTACAGGCCTGAAATTTTTTTCAGGTCTGATTTTCACTATTGCTCAAATAGTGCTTTACTGCGAAGGATCGTGCTCATATACGTTTTCCTACATTATTGCTTTTCATCTTTTCAACAGGAACGAAACATCGCACTCGTCGAAGTTCGGAATTTCCTCCCATTGCTGCCTCCGTTTTATGCCCTGGTGGAAAAAGCATCGTGACTGACGGGGACATCAGCTGGTGTAGCGACCTCCAGGGATGCTGGAGAAAAGTAAGCAAAGTACATTCCCGTACATGCTTTCAGACTGTGCGTTGCTTTTCGTGGGGGTGCGTTTACCTTCACTTCGGACAAGAAGTGTATTGTTTGAAATACCAGTGTAAACAGGACACTTCTCATCATACCGATAACATCACTGCCCGATAAAGATTGTAATAACAGCGATGATAGTAGTGTAAGACGCCGTACCGTAAAATAGAAACTTAGATTGTAAAAATGAGATGGTTATTTAAATTTTTTAAGTGTTATTCACTTAAGTATATTTATAACATAATCAGAGTGAATCGTGCTCTCTGATCGGTCAATTCAGTGTGCAGCATTTGCCCATGGGTGTAAGCTGCTGACGTGAGCCAATGCAAAGACTAGTTTCCGCGCCCTTGTTTTTCTGGTTGTAAGATTTGAATGTTACATAAAAGGGTACTCTTCTGCTACAATGTATCAATGTTGTGTTGTAAAACAAATGGTAAACACCACTTGGGAGGTTTGCTAAGCACTCAAGGAGCTAGAGTAGCTCTCGGCTATCGCCTCGCGCGACTCTTACGCTTCTCTCGTGCTTAGCAACCTCCCGCGTGCATCCATAACTCAAAAGTGTACGCTGTAGTGTTTACCATTTGTTAAATGGTGTTTGCGCTGCCAAACTTCTTCAGTTATGCAGTTGCGTAAAAAGACGTGCATTTCTTAACTGTTTTGTAGGTCGCCATATTGTATTTATTTCGCGCGCTATGCGCCAGTCCTACTCTTCCATGTGAGTTTCCCCCCAAACAACGTACCTAGCGGGACAGTAATCATCGGGAAATAAAGAAAGTAATATACACCGGAGTCATAGTGGTAATTTTATTGTTTCTTGATCCTCTGCTCGGGTGAAATATCAGAATGATCTCGGAATTCGTTTTCTTCACTGTTTTTTGTTGTTGTTGTTGTTGTTGTTTTTCAAGTTTACCATAATTGCGGGTGCGTAAAAAAGATTTTGGACATGAGGAATAACTTTAATGCAAATAATTGTCCTTTTCAAACCAGAAAGAAGATAATTTTGTGTTCGCAGTAGGGCTGCTAAATAAAATTGAGAGATATCCTATTACCCGAGGTAGTCCATTACTGAATTGAGTGTTTTCGTGCTTCCTCTCCGCTCTAACTATAATCGAGAACTTACCCATAACAAATCATTACCAAAAGCCCAAACTTTCAGACATTTCAGATAAAGTAAAGATTTGGACAGGGGTGAGAAGAGAATCGAAAAGAAGTGGGAGCCCTGGCAACCTGCGAGGCATCACTAGAGGGAGGTGGCAGGTTCATCAAACACCCATATGGTGTGCGTTTAAAAGCCAAAGCGATGACAAAAAACGGTGATGATTAATGCAAATTCGCCTCCCATGCGCGGATGCACAGAAATACCTTCATTAAATTTCAAAGAAATGTAGGGTGTTTTTTCGAAGTGGCATTCAGGAACTATTGGACTCAGAGCATTCCATCACTCAAAGACTGTCGCAAGTAGAGGTAAGTAATAGGAAGAAGGAAGCCCGACGGCAAGTAACTCCCAATAACCAGGTGGCAAATACTCGGAAAACCGATCAGATTTTCATTGGCCGTGATTACCTGGGCAAAGACATTCACACCGCGAGAGCCTGATGTTTATAAGTGTGTGAGGAGGGAGCGTGGGGTCGAATTAGTTCATTCG